TAGAGAAAGATGATGTCAAACTGACTAGAGGTGTGACTGTTTGAATGCTGAGGTGTGACTTCATTCCAGTTGAAGGATTGTAAAACATAATAATAATATTTTCAATTTGTATAGAAACTGTATTAAATATAATGCATTGTGATAAGCTAGTTGTTACAATGCGTTTAAAATGTTTTCTAAATTCAAATAAAAAATGAATATTGGACTATATCTGTAAATGTACAAATCATTTACTGCTGCATCAGATTATCACCAAATTCACCAACAGTGATGTTCAAGTGTTGGCAGTTGCATGGTGATAATGTGATTCCTCTCTCAGGCTTCTGTGGAGCCTGGTGCTGATGTCACCTACAGCTCCATTGACCTGCCAAATCCAGAGGTAAGATGATGTCATGTAAATCAGTGTTCAGTACAGGCATCAGACGAATAGCACAATGACAGTTTAAGGCGTATATGACAAGCTCAATGCCTGCAGCCCAGATACGGCTCACAGAACATTTCCTAACGGCCTGTGAAATGACTTTGATATTCTGTTAAACATGGCCCAGGAATTGGGGTCCAACAGTAACCAGAATTCACAATTCAAACCTCTGTCTTGGGTTCATGGTTCGGTGCAATTTCAGTACAGCAGGAAAAACTGAATTATTTATTAGTAAAACCGCAAACACAATTAGGAATAATTGTAAACCACTGGCAATGTGTCTAAGGTTGATGTGTCTGAATAACAAAACCTAAGGGACATTTATTTGCGCAGTTTAAAAATAAATATATAAGATAAATAAAAAATGTAAATAAGTGTCACGCCCAGCGCCATCCAATCCTTGTGTGTGCCACGCCCACCTCGTTACCTCGTGTGATTCCCGGATTGTCAACACCTGTGCCTTGTTCCGTTTGCTCTTTCCTGTGTATTTAGTCCGCGTCTGAGTACGTCTCGTCATTACGTCATTGTATTGTGATGTATTGTTTCGTGCTCGTCTCGCTTGTGTCCTGGAATAAACCCACTTTACCCGTCAGTCCTGCTCCTTTCTCGTACTTCCCCGCTCGCTTACCTGCGCATACGGGACCGAACGTGACAATAAGGCAGTCATATTGCATGAATCCCTTTGTTCTCTGTCGCTACGGTTACATATCTGTAGTGATAAACACCCCTATAGCTGGAGGTATTTTTAGCACAGTCTGAATCTCCTGGCTAAAGTGCCTTAGATGACTCAGGGACACTGACTTGCAGAGGCAGTTCCTGCATCGCTCCGGTCACACACACACTTAGATGATGTTCTCTTTAATGGGTTAACATGCTGGATGTGTTTCCAGGAACATATCTGGGTTCTGTAAAACAGAACCGACAGACAGTCTTTCTCTTATCACAGGTCTCCCCAGTTTTGGTGCTGGGGGGCCAGAAGCCAACACAGTTTGCGGATTTCCCTGCTCAAATACACCTTAATCAGCCATTTGCCTGGTTTAGTCCAGGTGTGTTGGATTCTGACGCACCAGAACCAGAATTGGGGATCCCTGTCTGATCAGCTATTCTCTCTGCAATGTTGATGTGATTTATTGCTCCCATACTAACTGACTTTAACCAGCATTAGCTGTAACCAAGTTACAGCCAAAATTAGGATGTTTTCTATGTTGAAAATGATGTTCAGTTCCACTCATGTCAAGAAATGTATTCATTCATTCATTCATTCATTCATTCATTCATTCATTCAAATATTGTAAAGATTTCAGCAAAATAACTGCAAGTTTGGGTCCTTCTCTTATTTATTAAATAAATCCTTGGGTGGCCTGCATACTCATTGGTGGTTTTTAATACGGCCCTTTCAGTCACTGAGTTTGACCCCCCTGGTTTAAGGTCAAATAATGTTCTTACTGGGCAGGTAGAGCTACAGCTCTGATCTGTCAGATCCATGTGCATCATGCTTAGATGTCAGACTTAACATGATACCCATGGTGTGTCACAGTGATTCAGTTATTCTCACATTTGTTTTCACCTACTGAGCATTAGAGGAGTTTTAGAGAGAGAGAGGCTTAGGATTTTATGGGCTTGTACCTCTATGCAAACAACTAAATACTCTCAGCAGATGTCCTCTAGATGTTCTTCTGCTGCAACACCAGCCAGCGATGTGGTCTACAGCTTAATCACCCTGAAGCACAGCGAGGTGAGTTTCCTAAGACACTGAATACAGCCACAATTTCAACATCATACATGAAGCTCATTTGGCTTCCAGGTTTAAACCAGATTAAAGTGAACTATAGAGATTTCCCAGATTAATCTACTGGTCAGGTTTATTTCTTGTTCCTCTAGCAGTAGCATTGACACACCACACTCCCTGACATGCTAAGAGATGCATTCTACCTCAGATGCCAAACTGAACAGTAGCCAATATAAATGCTTATATGTTCTTTTCCAGTAGGGGGCAGCAACATGGAGATGCTCCTCTACATGTGGGGACCTACTGCTCAGGATGAGATCTGTGAGGGACAGTCAGATACTCCAGTGATGGGGAGGGATAATCACCAGAGAGGAGCATCTTACAGTGATGTACGCTGTATTTAAATGGCATGACCTGTTCTCACACTGTATACAATATATACATAATATACAATATTCTGAGATGGTATTTGCCAGTGACTGTCTTTCTCTTGTGTATCTATGAATTAGTGAGAGGTCTAAGGGCTTTGCTGCCCCCTGCTGGAGCAACTTCACCATTTCTCAGCCTCCTTGCTCTCCTCTTACTGTGGAGTTAAAAGCTGCCCAGTTACATTTTGTTTTCTTTCAGTATACAAGCTTCACATTTTAGATTTTGTTTTCACAGTATTTTTTTCACACACAATGTTAGGCTTTTGTTTATTGATAAGTTGAGTATTATTTAAAATGCAGACCCCAGACTGTGAGACCCCTCATATGTAATGTTAATAAAAATGCTTTACATTAATGCTGCAGGCTGCAGTGGTGTCTCAGTGTGTAACAGGGATGCCTTACACTGTCAGGGGTTTGGGTCTGAATCCTGCCCCTGGCTCACAGTCTGCTGTTGGTAAGTTTTATCCAAGTACTGTGGTTTCCTCCCACTGTCCAAAAATATATGGCAGAGTGAATTAGAAACCTGAAAATGACCGTGATATTGTCACACCCAGCGTTCCTTCCTCCCGTTTTCTCTGTGGTGTCGTCCTAATGAGCCACACCTGTTACTCGTTTAATCCTTCCTCTCATTTCAGCCCCCATGTGGTTGATCCCAGGTGCCTCTCGTCTGCTCCCTCGTCTGTGGGGTATATAGTGCCTCCTTCTGCTGAGCTCCCCAGTCCGGTCTTTGTAATGTCACTGCCTGCATGTGCTCCTCTGTGTGCCCTGTGCCTCTCCTGACTCTCCCTACCCAGTATTGACCCCTCGCAGTCCATTTCCCTTTGCCTCACTTGTAGTGTTTTGTTTGAATAAAGCCCTTTTCCTTTTTCCCACGCCTGCCTCCGCTTCTGTCCTTCCCGCATCGTGATTGATTTTTGAGCCGGTATCCCATTCGAGGAGTTCCCTGATTTGTGGACCATGCATCCTGGGATGTGCTTCCAACTGACTGTGACCTCATACTGGATAACAGCTTAAGTTAGATGTTTCACCATTTAAAACCCATAAAGGGGACACAGTGAAGTGAGGTAGTGTCAGTCTCCACAGATCTGAGGTCAGTGAAACACACATAAGGCTCCTCTGATGCTCCTCGTCATCCTCTTCCTCAGTGATGGGCCTCCAGGTGAGGATCACTTACTCTGGGACAGGGTCTCACTCTCTCTCACTCCACCATTCAGCACAGTTAGCATGAAGAGGCAGATAACAGAGGTTAGATGTGGAGTGACAGGCTGATATTAGAATTGACTGCAGTCTTCCTTGTGTCCACTGGGTGGCAGCAGTATACAGGAACGGTATTATTCTGTCTCGGATAATGGTGTGTGTATAAATGCACGTATCTCGATAGGATGGAACTCCACCTTTGTGTTAGGGATCTGATGGTTGATAAATTTAAAACTGTCCACTATCTCCACTGCTGCTTCATCGATGTATATTAGCGAGCGGTTTGAGTCTCTCCTTCCTAAGTCCAGGCTCAGTTCTTTAGTTTTGTTGATGCTCATTATTAAGTTGCTGTGACACTAGCTGACTGTTCACTGCCGTCGTAGGTGAGTAATGAGCACAGGCCTGGCAGCACTAATGGTGATGAAGTTTTGTCACCAAATCCTTTCAACAGGGCTATACTTTGTATCTCTCACAGACAGTGTCCTGCTAATGTAGAGCCCTGGGCACTCCTCTTCCTCCTCGTCATCCTCCTGCTTCAGAGGTCCAGGCTCCTACCTCATTGCCCCTTAATGGCACACACCCCATGCCAGTGTTTCTGGCTCCCACAGAAAATGTGGGGCTGCCCTTAATATGCCACACATGCCACAGCTGGTCATTATTGTCAGCGATGACGCTGCTCAGATGGGCTGCAGCCAGGGCAGCTTGGTGACATAAACTGTGGTCTGTCAGTCGGTGGATTGTGGCTCCCCATGCAAACCAAGGAGAAGAGACCAGAACTCATATGAACCATTCAGAGGGAACAAAGCAGATTTTGTGGTTGAACTGAAGGAATCCTGGGTCAAATTCAGATGTTCCTCCTCAGTTTTATCTGTCACTAAGACACCAAGAAGATAAGCAGCAGCATGTGGAATACCCTGCGGCAGAGTATCCATGGTTCTTTGGAAAACTGCTGGACTGGAGGAAACTCCAAAAGCCAAATCTGTTCTTGAAAAGTCCTTTACGTGTGTTTATGGTGACAAACTGTTTTGACTCTTCATCCAAGATCAGCTGTTATGTATGTCTCATATCGAACTTTTCCATCCTGCGTCAGCACTGGGACAATCAGGGCTGCCCATTGTGAAAACTGACTGGGCTCTATGACACATAGCTGTCATAGCCTTTCTAATTCTTTCTCTACCTTGCCTTTCATTGCACATGGCAGAGCCGTGGGGTTAATAAACCTGGGGGTGGCATTAGGGTCCACGCTGAGCTTCAGTGTAACAGCCTGCAGAATGCTGAGCTCAGCCCCAAACACATCAGGATATTTTTCAATCACATCCCCGCACACTGTCCCCGCATGGGTTTGATTTCATCTAAGTTCAGTTTAATTTTCCTGAGCCAATCACAGCCTAACAAACTTGGCCCCGCCCCTTTTACTACGAACAAGTGGCCTTTCGCCGGCTGACTGCCATAAGCAATGTCCACCTCCAAAGCACCTTACGATGGGATCACCTCTCCTGAGATTGATGGGTGACTCAACAAGGGTAGATGCCTCCAAACCAGACCATAATTTCCCATAAGTGTCCTAACTTATGACATGCACTCATCCACCTGCGCGGTTTTCAGCCTGACAGGCTTCCCATTGATGCTCACTGTGACATAAAGTGGTTCAGTTCGTGACTCAGTCATGCTGAACGCTGTATAAGAGCAGCCCTCCCCCTGCTGTGACCCCCTGAGTGTCATGTGACTTTAACACCCCTGCATTTCTTAGCTATCTGCCCATTTTTGTTGCACTTGGACATCATGATGCGTACAGATCACAAGCCCCTGATCTCCTTGCTAAGCTCTCGACCACTTGATAACTGACCTCTATGCATATTCAGATTCACACTGAGGAAGGTGAGCTTCAAGTACAGAATCATTCATGTCTCAGGAAAACATCTGATAGTGGCTGATGCATTATCACAAGCTCCACTTGGACCAGAAAACACTATAGACTGACACTGAGAAGGGAGTGTGACACTGATCATGTCATGGAGCACATACCTGCAACTAAAATAAAACTACATCAGATTAGAGACGTGCAGAACAAGATTGGTTTATAGTCAATACAACAATATACACAGTATACAGTGTATTGAAATCTCGTTCCACACAGGTCCCTCACGGTGCCTTATAAAGATAAAAAAATATATACCAAAAAAATATAAAGCAGAAATTTCACATAAATAATAAATCTAACTAAACTTTTTTGAATAGAAACGAACTAGTTCTAACTAACTATCTATGTACAGTAAACAGGACAGAGACAATACAAAGTGGTCATGTGCAATTAGAGTTCAAGTGAAATGTGCAGGTAGTATACCATGTTCAAGTTATGGTCAGGATATTGTTGACAAGACAAGACAAAGACGTGCCAGTTATAACAAGTGCAAATTTGGCATGAGGTAGACATATCTGAGCAAATAACAAAGGCAGAATCACAAGACAGCTAAGAGTTTTCACAGACAGAGGTTCACCTTTGCACTGGGAAGCAGCCCCTGAGAGTCTCTTGTCATACTGTTTGTACATAATGGAGATACAGGCAGCAAAGGTTATCCTGCTAAAGGGAGAATGAATCCTTATTCTAGGGACACCAGGGCATGACAAACTGGATCGCCAAGGTGCAACAGTCCAGTTAGTGACCTGGGTTGACCAGAGACATCAGAGACCATCTCTGGTCAATGCAACATACAGCCAGCATTCTAGTCAATGAACAGAACTTCTGCTCACAAGGCCTTTGCAAGACCATGGCAGAGACCGGCTGCAGGCATCTTCCAGTGGGGAAAAGGTCACTATATAGCTGTACCAGATTACTCTCCAGATACACAGAAGTAGTCAATCTGCCGACTCTCACAACTGCTACCACTGTGGAGAGGTTGAAAGTCATCTTTGCCAGGATTGGCGTTCCTGAAGTACCAGTGACAGATAACGTGCTGCAGTTTGCATCTCCTGAGTTTGCATAATTCTGTCAGGATTATGATACAGAGCATGTAACATGTAGCCGCAGCTACCCCCAGAGCAGCGGAGAGAGCTGTAAGAACAGTCAAACTGATTCTGAGCATGTAACATGTAGCCCCAGCTACCCCCAGAGCAGCGGAGAGAGCTGTCAGAACAGTCAAACTGATTCTGAGCAAGAAAAAAGCTCAGCTTACTGCTCTAACAGAACCATCCCAGCCCAACCCCAACGTGATGGTGACCAGATTGGGGATAATCTCCTGTCCACCAGAAAGACTAGACCAAAGACCAATCAGACCATGTTTAATATAGTTAGACCTGCTGTGAAGAAATGGTCAGAATAAAGCCTTTCAGCAAAGTCTGAAGGTTCAGGCAGTCAGCCCTGTCCTTCGGCTTAGAGAAGGAAAACACGGCTGCTCATGTTTACAGAAAAGTAACAATGCTGTTCATGTTTACAGAAAAGGCACAATCCCATTACATTACTGTTTTGATACATTACCAGCAGGGTAAGATTCAAAAGCAGAGTAAAGAAATACTGTATGTTATCTGACTAAAAGAGGGAAATGCAGTAGAATCATGTCAGGACACTAGAGGGCAGTAAAGTATTGGGGAATAGAATAGACAGCGATAGAAAGGAGAGTAAATAAAAGAATGTAAATGTTTGAGTTCACGAAAAGCGTA